TACTGTTCAAGCTTTTATGCAGGGTCATTTTTTAAACTATGATATGCTACTGTTGTTCAAGCTTTTATGCGAGCTCATTTTGGATACAATGATCTCATTTGCAAATGGTGTGTAGATTTAGTTGTTTGATGTCAGTCCATTGTATTCAATGTTGTTGTGTTTTTTAGGTTTGTTGGTGTATATATTTAGTTGTTTCATGTGACGTTTGTTGGTTGTCTATGTTTGTTGGTTTCTCATCTTGTAGTGTGTTAGCAAATGATTTGGCTCACTTTTCGGTGTCAACCTAAACCACACCAATTGAGAATGGTCGACCACACCAGCCACAATCGATGGTAATGCAGCAAAATGTGGGAATCCGTCTCAACCTTACATCCACCAAAAAAAAAAAAAAAAAAAAACACAACACAACACAAATTAGCCCCCATTGGAAGGATTCTCCTTTGAGCTAATAGATCTCTTGACACAATTCTCTCTTTTAGTGCCACCCAACAAAAACACTTCACTTTTGGAGGAGCAACATTTATCCAAAGTTTAGAGCAAATATGGTTTATCATCAATGAAATGGTGGTGGAGGTTTGGGGTGGAGGACAGAACACTGTGTAACCAGATTATTAGATGCAGATATGGTACTAAGGAATGTGGATGGCTACCATCGTTGGTGGCTTCAGGAAACATGTCACTTGTTTGGGGATATGTTTCCTCTTTGCCAAACTCTAATTCTGCACTGGTTGATTTCTTTGTATTCAATATAAGAATTCAAAATGGGGATGGTTGCAGGGTTCTATTCTAGCTGGACAAATGGCTTAGATCATTTAGTTTGGACTCATACATAGCCAGATCCCGAGTAAGCTTTGAATTCACCTCAGCCAGCTATACCCTCTTTTTTTCAAATTGGCCCGACATGTTTTGCATCTCTTCAATGATGCCTTCCAGACCCTTCAATGTAAAGAAGGTCTGTCTGAGCTCAACTTTTCGATTTTCTATGACACCAATTGTTTAATGAGCATGTTGTTCATACATTTTTATCTATCCTTGAAATTCATTTAGCATAGAATTCATGTGATACATCAGTTGCATAGAAGTGGCTTCCTTTTCAATATGAGCTGAGTTTAGTGATTGTTGAAGTTCATTATCTTTGTTTTCAAGCTATGTATTTCTCTCAACCAACAATTCATTCTCTGAGAAAAACTGTGCAGCTTTCTCTTCTGCCTCCGAAATCTTTGTTTTGAGTGGATGAATGTCCTAGACTCCTTAGGTTGTCTATAGATAAGGGGGATCATTGAGGATGCTCGTACAAAATATGGGCACTTCTAGGGACTAGAACTTCAATTCCACAAGACAACTTTTTGCTTGGGAGGAGGAAGAGGTTTCTAGGTTGCAGATTATGCTCATTACTCCTCCAAACCTGACATAGAATTGCCCTGATTCACTCAAGTAGGGGCCAACTTCATCAGGTCATTACATTGTGGCAGCATCTACGAAATGTGGTGAAGCACAATAGGGGCCTAGGCTGCCTATTCCTAAGCTATTATGGGGTAATGTGGCTCCATAAGGCTCATTTTTTTGGCTGGTGGGATATCCAATGGACTACACCTGCAAAATTACAATCAACATGCAATATTACGATTCATTAGTAAAAGTTATGACATTTTGTTAATTTTAATATGATTGTGGGGAAAAAAGTTGTGGTTATGATTCATTTAGTAAAAGTTATGATTTGTACTACCAAAAGTTTTGATTTGTCATGGTGAATCGTAATAAAAAATGTTACGATTCAAATGTTATGATAATTAGTTAGAAATAACTATATTTGTTATGAGTTGTTGTCATATTATTATGATTTATAGTGTCTTTGTTATGACACCTTGATGAATATTATGGCATTGTTATGATTTATTATAGTATTGCTAAGATATTTGAAAAAAGTTATGATTCTTCATGTAACCTGTTAGATGACCGGTTTAGCAAGTCACTTTTTATGATGTGACACGGTATGGATCACACAATAAATGCATATCATATGCCCTTTTCGAAGGTGTACATTGTAGACTTTCCCACATTCACCGTATAAGTGACATCTAAAGTTTCATTTCTATTAGAATCTAGTTTCAAAGGCCACTTCTACATAGTTAATTTTTTTTTATATAGGTTAATTACACTGACTTCTCTTAAATTGTTTTTAAAAATACAATAAATTTTTCCAATTTAGCGTAAAAGTAATAAATTTTATTTTAGTAAGATTATAATAACAAAAATAATTTGAATGGCCATATTACTATACTTATCTATTTACGTGTCACCTATTTGTCTATCATCATTGTCAACAACCACCGACGACTTTTTCGGTCCGTTGACTTATCCAGTAGTCGGTGACGATGATTGCCAATTGTCGGTTGCTATTTGAAAATAGAGAGAAATTACAAATAAAAAAATTACAAAGATTAACTATCACAAATATCATTTTCATTCAATAAGTATAAAAATTTGTCTTTCTGACCTCAAAAGATTTGACATTATCCTTGATACTCCATTTACTCCCCTCTTTGGATTTATCATCAATTTTTTCTGTCATTTTCTATTTATTTAATCATCTTCAAAACATTATCTAGAAGTTTTCACCAACCAAAATTTTGATTTGAATTTAAGAAAAAAAAATTCAAAATTCAAAATCACGAGCCGGTTGTTCTGCCTGTATATTGTGCAATTAAACAATAAATAGGACAAAATAAATAGTGAGCCTCTTAAATGATTTGAAAAACATTTAGAGCCTAACATGATTGTAAAATGGTTGGTATAATAGCAGACCAAATGGATTTTGTCTTTCTGCATTGTTGTGATTAGGTTTGAATGAAGACTAAGTCCACCTGCGGCATCTACAAATATTTTTTAAACTTTTTAACAGACATAATTTGAAGCATAATCTTTTGTTCAATAAGACTCTGTTTGGATGGTAAAAAATCAAAGAAGAAGAATGAGCATTCCATTATTGCAAGAATCTCATTTGTTTTAATTAGAATCATTTGTCAATGCAAAACAAGAATTTGAATTAATTAAAAAAAGAAGTATGATTCCTCTTCATACCACTGTCCTCCTTTACTTTGTAGCTCCAACTACAACGATAATTTCAATGATTCGTCTCGCAAATTTTGATAGTGAATATACAAAAAATTAATTTCACTTGATATCTATAAATAAATGAATGAATAAATCGTATTTTATATTATAAAGTAGTCAGTTTAAATTTAAACTCGTAGTTATTATATAAAAATAACGTTCAATTAGTACAAATTAATATATGTTTGGGTGAAAAAAAATTAACTCATAGTTATTATAAAAAAAAATAACGCTCAATTAGTACACATTAATGTATGTTAGGGAGAGAAAAAATTAATTAGTAACTCATAGTTATTGCCCATTTAGAAAAATAAAATGTAATTTGTTCATGTATTTAGTAGTGTCCGGTCAGAACCGGCCATGGGCTAAGCCCATTGAGGCCTGTGCCTTAGGCCCCAAAAAAATTGTCCAAAATAGGGTCTCCAAATTCAAAAAAAATATTATAGTATATTACAAATATAAATAGGCCTAAATAATTTTTGGCTCTTTTAGGGTTAATCTAAAGGATCCAAAAATATTCTGTTGGGACCATATTTGTTTGTAGGTGTGGTTTAGCCCAATTAAAATTAAAATATATACAAAATGTTTGTGGCCCTTGAATGAAAAACACTACATGCACATACAAAATGTTGGTGGCCCAACATAGGGCCTCTAATTTTTTTTACTTTCTTTCTTTATCAGATTTTAGTGGAATAAATAAATTTATCATAATTTTTTTACCTTCTTTGTTTATCAGATTTTAGTGTAATAAACAATTGATTCAATCTCAATCATACTAATACATAATATATTCAATAAACAACAATGCAACCACATTCATAAACAACATATTCAATAAACAACAATTAATTCAATACATATTCAATACATTTTAATTGAATAAAGTTTTTCTAATTTTGGTAACTTTTTTTTTGTATGAATACATTTTGATATTTATTTTTGTATCAATCACCGATAGTGACACCAAACAGGCTTCTTTTTTCTTTCTTTCTTTCTTTCTTTTTTTTTCTTTTTTTTTGGAATATGGTCCTCCGTTTTTATTTCGTCTATAACTCCCGAAAACCCAAGATTGACCTTGTGTCCAATGAAATTGACTTTTTATACTACTCATCTTTACTATTAAATTTATCAAATGAATAATTCAAATTAGAATTGTCAATCTCAAATAAGGCCCAGTAAAATAAAATATAGACCGATATGAAGGATAATAGTACAGGCGGAGTCATTCTCATATGTAAAAAAAATAATAAAAATAAAAAATCTCTATAAAAAAAGTAAAAAAATTACGAAATTGTTAGTCCATCTCCTTCTTTTTAGTCATAAATGGTCCACATTTTGCGGAGGAAACTGAGATTCTCTCGATACTTCACTTATTTGGACAAAATTTTTTTTTTTTTACATTTTTTTAATGTTTGGTACCGAAAAAACGAAAAGTCAAACAGAAAATGCTTTTCATAGTAAACGGAACAAGCTTATTTTGAAAAAAAAAAAAAAAAAAGGTTCCTACTTTGAAAAAGTGAAATATTTTTTAAAATAAAATCTTATCAATTTCGCTACATTATTTTTGCCACCGTCATCTCTCCCACTAACACTGCCACCACCACCTCTAACTCTATCCCACCATTGTCACAGTTACCATCACATTTTCCCACCGCCCCGTCTATGCCGCCGCCACCACTAACTAACTATTAATACATTAGTTTTAAGGACACAATGAAACCTTCAGAAAAAAAAAAAAAAAAAAAAATTTAAAAAAAATTTTTTTGAAAAAAATTTTCCTTTAAAAAACTTTTTTTTTCTACAAAAAAAAAAAAAAAAAAAAACTTGAAAAAGTATTTTTTGAAAAAAGTTTTCCATTAAGAAACTATTTTTTGCTGAAACAAATGAATCGTGAAAGAAAATCACCATATAATGAGCAAATTATACAGCAGTCTGTCTGTGAACCAACTCGACAAAACTAGCTAGCCATCTTGTTAAACAATGTTCACAACGTCAGTCTAATATCAGTACTCACTTCAATTGGTCACTTTCGCTTGGTTACAGTGTCATATTATCTCTCTTTCGAGTCCTAACTATCAACAATTCAGTGGGTTAACAATCTGCGGCATTGGCTAACTCAAGAGCTCGATTTTTTGTTGCAATTTCTTATTTTACTCAAAAGCTCCTTCTGCTTCCAAACTTCTTCCCAGGAATCCTATGAGATGATGCTAGCTAGCTGCTCTTGATTTTGTAAAAGCTTGGAAGCACTTGAGTTCTGTTCGTGCAGTGTCCATTTCCTTGAAGGTTACTTCAATTTGTGACCAAAATTTCGTAGCTCGCATCTGATCATTGACAATGTCATCTATTAGAAACATTACAACTTGGATCTAAAACAAATTCACAGAACAAACAGTGACTAATCCATGCCTCTTTCTGTTGAACAATGAAAGTACTTAAAATCTATCAGACAATAATCAGCCTGCAAAAACATAAGAGACGAATTTTGTTTTTGTTTTTGATATTTAATTTTTGATTTTTTTGTTTTTATGACAGCACACTTCTTTTAGGTTTTGCAGATTATGGTAGTATATCACATATTAAATGTCAATAAAATCACATTTAGTTACAACATGCTTAACCTGTAGGACTGCAGTAAGTATGTGCTCTAAATCTTCCACAAAGTTAAAAATTGGCATTTTCGACCTACTGCTGTGTGAATTGTGCTTGCTACCATTTCTTGCCAAAAATAAAATAATTAAACTGTTTTCATGTGAACTTTGTTGTCTATTATTAGGATCCCACTTTATCCATTCTATTCAAATGCAACTTCTCTTATATGGATGTATGGATAAGGTTAATTCAGACAATTTTTTTTTTAAAAAAAAATTTGTTTTAATTCTTATCCAATTACTCTTTCTTGACTTTCCTTTCCTTTCATTCGCGTTACTTTAACTTTCGCATTTTAAAAGTAAAAGCCTTAAGGGAAGTTTGTGATTTGGTAATGAAATTATCGCACCATGCAAGGAGCATAAAAACTTATCTATAATCTTTAATTCTGAAGTTTTATGGATGTAAGAACGATATGGCCAACTCTAAACAGCAAGCAAAATTTTCAATCTGAAGTTAGTATGATGGACTACTCTAAGGTGCATATTAAATTTACATTAGAAAACAAAGAAGCGAAGACTTCATGAAAAACTGAACAAATGACGGTGTTAATAGACAGATATGTAGAAAAATCATACCTCCTTCAGCTCATATTCTTCAAAGTCTTTAATCACGAGGACATAAACAGCTTTTCTGTCAGCAACCGGTTTGACTCCTTTGTTCTCACCTTTTTCACTTTTTTGTCAGGTGGATACTTTGCATTATCATGATCTAGTAAGGATAGGAGCTCGTTTCTTGTCATCATCGACTCTTATCAAAGTATTTTTATTAGCTCCAGTGAAGCAAGAGGAGGTATGGGGAGCTCCCTCTGCAGCACTTTTGATCTCTTCAAATGAAAACAAAGACAGAAAACAAGAAACAAAAGCATTACCAAACAACACAAATAATGCTTGTTACCTCTGTTCTTCCTCAGCCTTCTCTCTACCTATCCTGTCAGACATGTCCTCTTCATTCTTCTCTTCTGGTTCTTCGTTATCTTTAGGAACTGGTTCGATAACTAATCTGGTACTCTTGGGCTGTGAAAGGTTGCTCAAACCAGAGCAAAAGAACCTTTTAAAATCAACTTGCAAGTTTTGCACTGTCATGCATATCCACTTCTTCATTAATGTGAAGCTCGTCCATCCCTTACGGGAGTTCCTTTTGGAGTCGTACCAAAAGAATACCTTGCTGGAGTCATGCCAAGTCCTGGCATTGTAGGAGCGCACTTCTTGTACCATTCCATACTGCGAGTTCCTCATTCCCAGCAAGGCGATCACTAGAATAACCCATCTTTGCAACTTCCTCCAATTCATGATCCGAAAAATGATTTTAATTTTATGACTGCAGAGATTTAATTCATTACTTAATACTAAATATGTTCTGTGAAACGTGACTTTGAATTTCAATTGTAACTAACAAATTTGTCTTGAATTTTCAAGTTTAAAGATTAGTATAAGCTTTGCTGCCCGACAGTATGGAGTACTGACCACACCGAGGGACAAGCCCTGAAGCAAAGGACAGGAACGAGCGGAATTGATGTGTTCCAATTTCTGGCCTTGCACCTACCATCCAATGGACCATGGACTAAACGGCCACAGCCTGAAAGGACTATGTCCAGGGACGGCAAACAACAACAGGAGAGCACTTGGTGTAGGTCTTTCCTTGATCCTAATAAAGGCTCAGTGGCTCAATTAGGCTTGGGAGGAGGGCTGTATGCAAAGGCAAAGGGCTATATTTGGGCTATTGAACAGACTCGCCCTTCGGTTAGACTTGGCTCTCAGCTCGTTCAATTAGGTTCGGGGCTCAAGTCTTAGGTGCTTAATTCAAAGTTGAAAGTTTAATAATAAAAAAATTTCAATTTCATCCTACAACATGACTAAGTATTATTCTTCATTGTAAAATTTTAGGACAAAAATAATTATAGTTTGATTTACGTTTCAAATAATTTGATTGAGAACAACAAATACAAAATATGTACATGAGTCTTATATGTTATTGAGTCTTATATGTCATATATGAATTGGTAAAATTCTAAAATAAAAAATCAATCAAGCCAAAACTTTTGTCCTCAAAACATTTTTTTCTTTCTTAAAAAATAAATAAATAAATAAATATAAATATAAATAGAAATCAGTGCATGCATAGCATGACTCAATACTATTTTTTTGGATGAATAATCATGACTCGCTATAGGCCCGTTTGGGAAGTGAATTTTTGACTTTTTTTAGATTAAAATTCACAAAAAGATAAAATAGATTAAAATAGTCAATAAGCCAAAATATCACATTAAACCCATAATCATTTCATTTTTTCTCTCATAAACATAACATCCAACTACAAAAAATCCAACTATCTTTTCAAACATAAAAATTTTAGCTTATTAAAATAGTCAAAAACTAAAATAACCTAATAAAATAGCCAACTTTCCAAACGAGGCCATATTTAAGTCTCAAAGCACAAATTTCAAAAATACCATGCCCTAAAACATACTCGCCGCTTACACAATTCCTCTCTCTCCACAATGGCAGCTTCTTCCATCTTTTAATCGTCCCCCTTCTCTCCCCATTAACAACCTAAACAGTTCCAATTGTCACAACAGTTTCCATTACACAGTTCCATATTTTCGAAGCCGTCCAATCATCGTGACCCCAGTATTGTTGAAGTTAATGATAATTTGATAAACAAGTAATTTTTATCTCATGTGAAAGGACTATCAAATGGAGACATAATTTTCTTGGAGCTGATAACATAATAATAATAATAATAATAATAGAAGCCCTGAATTCTATTTCTTCATTGTTACAGATAGCGAACTTCAAACAGCTGAAAAAAAGGCTTTGCTGCTGAGAAAAGATTCAATGTCTTTATGAAAATAGTATCACATTTCCATTTAGCAGCTAGATCTTGTAGGATAAATGCTCAGTAACTAATTACACATTTCCGGCTTCACCAAAATTCATTTAACAGAAACAGCAATGAAAGGTCGATTAGAGAGCACCAACAATGGTCAAAGAAGGTTGTAAGTCATGACTAAAGCTTTTCTCCAAAGATGCAACAAAGCTCATCTCTAACTACTACAGTTTCTAGTTTCGATGATCTGCTATTAGGAATTTGAGGCACAAATTATGGTTTAATGGCTATGAGATCCGCTATTAGGAATTTCATCTAGATTTTGTTTCTGTATGTCTTCACCGTCTACCATTGCTCAGCACAATGGCAAAAGAAAAGTTCAGGCCATCAAGCATTTAGGTCTGTGGTCAGTCTTGACTTTCATTTCTCGCAATACCCCTCAATAGGGATCAACAATAGGTAATAGCCTTTATCTAAATTAAAGATCAATTAAAAATGGTAGACAGTGAAGACGTACAGAAACAAGTTAGATAGTCATAGAATGTAAAAACACAAAAAACAGATCACAGTCCATGGAAAACTCAATACTCAGATGACAATATCAGGTGCCAAAGGCCATGGAAATTCATGAAAGTGCAGAGCTGCTAAAGTGCTATTGACCAAATCAATTGTTAGTTATATCCTACCAAGTGATGGAAATAGAATTGGAAATGTAAGCCTACATTCAGTAACTTCAATATAGTCCCAACTACAATCATGTATTGGAAAAAGTACTTGGCCAACAGAACACAGAAAAATTACTGAAGCAAAAACCCCAAAACAAGCACCATCAATTCTCATTCAAGTAAATTACTTTCCCTATCTCCTAGTTGGTCATTGTTATAGTTGCTTCCAATCAAATGATGAAGAAGCACACCTGCTGCAACACTGACATTCAAGCTCTCCACAGCCAGAAAGGACAGAAGAGGCCATGTTGCTGAGTGTTTCAGAGACGGGTTGGTTACAGAGTATTACAGAGTTTCTCAGCAAAGGAAGAGTTTGTTTCAAAGGATTTTCAGAAGTTTTTTGTCTGCCTCAGCCTCAGCCTCCGTCTTGGTTAAATAGCCGAGGCAGCCACGCGCATCGCGCGCCTCTTGCCACCAGACGACAAAACGGGCGCGCAAGCCAAAGCGCCCACGTGCCTCGCCATCATGTCCGGCTCGCCTTTTGATGAATTGGGCACGCCTTTTGATGGCACGCCTTTTGACAAAATTGGGCACACCTTTTGAGGGTGCAACTTCTACAACGGTCCGACATGACCCTGTAAACTGTCCCGACATTGATTCCGGTTAGTTTCTACAAGGGTCCAGCAAGACTCCGTAAACTGTCACAACAACTGTCACCACATTGTCTGCTACAACGGTCCGACATGACCCCATAAACTGTCTTCTACAACGGTCCGACATGACCTCATAAACTGTCTTCTACAGCGGTCTGACATCGCCATCCAGTGTCCTCTACACCATTATGACACCACCATACAGTGTCCTCTACAACGTTATGACACCACCATCCAGTGTCTTCACCAATGGTCTGACACGACCATACAGTGTCACCTATCCTCTTTTATTTTTATGTATTTTCTTGTTTTGTAACTCTCTCCAAACTCAAGTTGGCTAGTTCCTATCCCCCTTGAGTTTGCGGGGGGCTGTTAAAATTTATCACCTACTTCACCCACTTAAACCTAACCCACTACACCCACTTAAACCTACTCCACTAAACCTAACCCACTACACCACTACCACCTCACCTACTCCACTAAACCTAACCCACTACACCACTACCACCTCCACTTCACCTACTTCTTACCTACTACACACTCACCCTCTTCTATATATAGGAATCATGACTCATTATAATATAACAACAAACATAAATCAAAATATCAATATAAATCAATCAATAATACAATTCTCTATTTCTCTTTATACATTAAATTTCTACACTAAACAGTTCCAATTGTCACAACAGTTTCCATTACACAGTTCCATATTTTCGAAGCCGTCCAATCATCGTGACCCCAGTATTGTTGAAGTTAATGATAATTTGATAAACAAGTAATTTTTATCTCATGTGAAAGGACTATCAAATGGAGACATAATTTTCTTGGAGCTGATAACATAATAATAATAATAATAATAATAGAAGCCCTGAATTCTATTTCTTCATTGTTACAGATAGCGAACTTCAAACAGCTGAAAAAAAGGCTTTGCTGCTGAGAAAAGATTCAATGTCTTTATGAAAATAGTATCACATTTCCATTTAGCAGCTAGATCTTGTAGGATAAATGCTCAGTAACTAATTACACATTTCCGGCTTCACCAAAATTCATTTAACAGAAACAGCAATGAAAGGTCGATTAGAGAGCACCAACAATGGTCAAAGAAGGTTGTAAGTCATGACTAAAGCTTTTCTCCAAAGATGCAACAAAGCTCATCTCTAACTACTACAGTTTCTAGTTTCGATGATCTGCTATTAGGAATTTGAGGCACAAATTATGGTTTAATGGCTATGAGATCCGCTATTAGGAATTTCATCTAGATTTTGTTTCTGTATGTCTTCACCGTCTACCATTGCTCAGCACAATGGCAAAAGAAAAGTTCAGGCCATCAAGCATTTAGGTCTGTGGTCAGTCTTGACTTTCATTTCTCGCAATACCCCTCAATAGGGATCAACAATAGGTAATAGCCTTTATCTAAATTAAAGATCAATTAAAAATGGTAGACAGTGAAGACGTACAGAAACAAGTTAGATAGTCATAGAATGTAAAAACACAAAAAACAGATCACAGTCCATGGAAAACTCAATACTCAGATGACAATATCAGGTGCCAAAGGCCATGGAAATTCATGAAAGTGCAGAGCTGCTAAAGTGCTATTGACCAAATCAATTGTTAGTTATATCCTACCAAGTGATGGAAATAGAATTGGAAATGTAAGCCTACATTCAGTAACTTCAATATAGTCCCAACTACAATCATGTATTGGAAAAAGTACTTGGCCAACAGAACACAGAAAAATTACTGAAGCAAAAACCCCAAAACAAGCACCATCAATTCTCATTCAAGTAAATTACTTTCCCTATCTCCTAGTTGGTCATTGTTATAGTTGCTTCCAATCAAATGATGAAGAAGCACACCTGCTGCAACACTGACATTCAAGCTCTCCACAGCCAGAAAGGACCGGAACTCTTCACCTGAGCATCCACGATCTATTCCTGAAGTTTCCCCATTTTCATATCCTGCATTTATATCCACTGGAATGCTTCCAGGGATCCTAACCAACTGAGTGCACGACCTCTCTACCAATGGCCTCAAACCAGTGCCCTCGCTCCCCAATACAAGAATTGTGGGTGCACCAGGCTCAACCTCATTTAAAGGAATGGCTCTAGAAGATACTGAACCTCCAAGAACCCGCCAACCATTTTCAGCAGACGATACTAAGAATTGCATCATATTCTTGCAAGACCTAAGTTCCATTAATTCCAATGAGCCTGCACTTGCTTTGCTTACAACACCACTCAATGGCGCTGAATTCTTTGCACACAACACCACCCCCGAAGCTCCAAAAAAGTAGGCAGACCTAATAATTGCTCCCAAATTCTGAGGATCTGTAACCTCGTCCAAGGCAACCCAAAGTGAATCCTTTTCTCCCTCCACTGGAAAGGGGTCCAATTCCTTGATGCCCACCATCTCCAGCGGAGAAGCATCTACCACTAGGCCTTGATGTGGGCGATTATCAGCTACCATATTCAGGTCATGCTTCGAAACTTCTTTTATGCTTAAGCCAATCTTTTCAGCTACCCTCAAAACTCTCTCGAACCCTTTCTTGTCCTTCTTCTTCCTATTATTACCACTCAAATCAAGCCCTTCTTGTACGTACAAAGCATAGAACTCTCTTCTTCCAGCCAACAATGCAGCCAACACAGGTCCAACCCCATAAATCCCTTCACCAACCATCTTAGGCACCGTCGATTCAGTACCCTCTTTCCATGTCTTTTTACCCCAACTTTCCTGCTTATTCCACTTCCGAAACTCAGGTCTTTCTGACCTGGGTTTCTCATCAACAAACCTATTAAATCTATTCTTTATCCTATCCCATCTTGGATCATCAACAACCTCAACCTCTCCCTCGTCTTCTTCCACAACACCTCTGTCCCGAAAATTATTTTTCCAGTTTTCCACCAAACTACCTCCCCTTTTTTCAACAGTTAGGAACTTCTCTGCTGATTCCTCCCAAGAAGACCGACTAGCTTTCGGATTTGTTGCTTTCTCCAACCTTTTACTTTCCTTAGCTTTGTGTGATGCTAACCAAGGAAGGGTTTTTTCAGCCCTCACTCTATTACCACTATCTTCAACAACTTTCTGAGTATTCAAACTCGAGAAACCTCTACCTCCAATCAATGAGCAAGTCTGTAAAGCACTCTTAAGGCGAAACCCACTTGAAAATTTTCTCGGTTTGTGAAATTCAATTGAAAAATTCATGGGTTTCAACAAATGGAAGTTTTCAAGGGTTTTATGACCACAACCATCTGAGAAACTTCTAAAACTCATTGTAAGGTGGTGTTTTGGGAGTTTTGAGTGAGACCCAATTGGAAAAGATTGGAGATTTGATGAATGGAATGGTTTAAAGCACTTGGGTGTCTTTGAAGAGACCCTAATAGCCAAGGGAAAAGATTGGGTTTTTGACAATTGACAATACATAGTATATGTTATTCACAGTCTTTGATTTATTTCCTTCTAATTCACCAAAAAAATATGAAAGCTTAGAGCTTGAAGAACAGTTGAAACGAAACCTGGATTTAGAACGATGTTGATTTGAAAATGCAAGAACGAATCCTTCCCATTTCACAATACGCCATGAATTGCTCCTCCTTCTCTATCTCAATTCTCAAGTTCGCAAGTGATGACATCTCGAAGTTTGTCAAGGGTGGAACGACGTCGTAGAAGCTACAACGAGTCGACAGTATTTATGGAATGACCAAGATATCCTTTTCTTTTTGGACAAGAATAGCATGCATCTCCATCCATGCTAAAAAATAAATAAAAATAAGAATAAAATTTTTTATTTGAATTTATACATATTTATTAGGAAGAATTTCAAATCAGTGTAAGATGAAAAATAATTATAAATCAATAATAAAATTTATCAATATTAATAATTATAATTATAATTTTTTTATCATACATATATAATAATTTTTTACAATTAACACTGACACATAATTTGTCATCCTATTTATTGTGCCAATTGTACACAATCGAACTTGGAAATAGATTTTTCTAGCATTGTCTTTGATTAGGAATTTGAGAAAAGAATTAAAAAGAAAAAAGTATGTGAAATTAGATAAAATGTATATATATTAGTGCACGCTCGTGCTTAAAGGCATGGTGTAAATAATATTGGGATCAAAACGTAATTATAATTTATATGTATCATGTTAAAATTTGTTGAGTTTGTAGCATATTTTTATTCTTCTTAAAGAACTTCTAACAATTTTGCTAACACCTGATAAAAGATCAAGTCAGTACTTTTACCATTAGTTTGTGGCTAACACTTGATACATTGGTGAGTGTCATAGTATCCCGAAATACAAATATCTTATTGAAATAACATAAAACATACAACATGGATTAGGCCAAATTCAAAGTATAACCTGACAAATAATAGTCTTTAGAAATTGTTTACATATTAAGCTATGGAAATCAAATCTCGAAGAATAATTTTGCAATCAATTTGTAGAAAGCATTGACACTTCTCTATATCGTGGAGGGAGCCCAATATTGAGTTTTCTGTAACAAAAAATAGACAATCTATATAAGAAAACACACGAGTCATCATCCTAAAGCAGTGGATAAGCAGTGGATTTTGCAATCAACTGTAAATTAAAAAACTAAATGCATCATATCATCAAGAAGAAATCCACCGTATGCCATAGCATTCCAACAATATAGCAATACATTTATCATAAAATCGCTTATGAAAAACAGCTTAAATGGTAAAATTTAATATTGTAAAAAAAATAATTCCTACAACTCATTTGGTTTGTCAAATTAATTAGAAAATCATTAATTACATCAACTACAGACAACTTTAGAATAGAAATTGTTGCTTTACAAAATAGCCAAACTAAAAAGATTTTAAAGTCATCCAATAGCCATTAACTGTTGTTAGTATCAATACCTAAAAGAAAATGTATAGTAAGAAGATAAGTAAATTAAATAAGAAAAATTATAAATAGGTGATAACTTCACAAAATATTTAAAAACTCACGCTGATTTGTAATTTTTCCAATGAAATAAGAAGTTAAGTAAAGAAAGTCCATATTATAGTTTGATGCAAATCTTTATCGTTCTATGAAAATAAAAGAAAAGAGAATTTTATTAGAAGACAATTAGAGGGGAAAAAAAGTGTATTTAAAAAGACCCAAAAAAAAGAAGAAGACAACTTACATGTCCAAAGTAATAACAACTTACATGTTCAAAGTAATAAATCAATTCCAAATGACTATAATTTTTCAACATTTTTTTTGGTGCCACGTGGAGAACTCAACTATAATAAACCGATACAAAATAAAAGATCAATTCAACACTCTTACCATTAGTTTGTGGCTAACACCTAATATATTGGTAAGTGTCACAGTATCCCGAACTACAAATATCTTATTGAAATAACATAAAACAAATATCTTATTGAAATAACATAAAACAGACAACATGGATCAGGCCAAATGCAAAATATAACCTGACAAATAGTAGTCTTTAGAAATTGTTTACATATTAAGATATGGAAATCAAATCTTGAAGAATAATTATCCAATCAACCTGAAGAAAACATTGACACTTCTCTACATTATGAAAGGAGCCCCAATATTGAATTTTCTATAACAAAAAATAAACAATCTATATAAGAAAACACACGAATTATCATCCTAAAACAGTGAATTTTGCAGTCAATTGTAAATTAAAAAGTAAAATGCATCATATCATCAAGAAGAAATCAACTCTATGCCATAACACTCCAACAATGTAGCAATACTTTTGTCATAAAACCGCTTATGAAAAATCGCTTAAATGGTGAAATTTAATTTTGTAAAAAAAATAATTCCTACAACTCATTTGGTTTGTCAAATTAATGTGAAAATCATTAATTACATCAACTACAGACAATTTTAGAATAGAAATTGTTGCTTTTAAAAACGGCCAAATTAAAAAGATTTTAAAGTTATTCAATAGCCATCAACTGTTACTACTATCAATACCTAAAATAAAAATGATCTTAACATGTTTTTCTCTTCTAGTTTTACTACCTTCTTCGAAGCACTTAACAAAAAATGAGTACACATGTTTTCCCTTGCCAATTGAACCATATTTTTAAAATGATCAACTCCCAAGTAAAACGTACAATAGGACAACAAAGACAATATACTATGATTATGTTGGGTTTTTTTTTGCTTGATTAAATAAAATAAAGACATCCTGATAAAATAATTATTTCATTTAATCCATTTATATCAATCCATTTAACCAAGTCATCATTTTATATCAAATTCATTTTACCAAGTCAACAATATCCAGGACACATGTCAAAACATATAGTTATAATTGAATATATCAATCAAGTAAAAGGTTGAACACATGACTTTCAGGTATAATTAAAGTATAATCTCTTTCATAAACAATGCGAGTAAACCCAACAAAATTTGCTCCCAAAAAACAAAAACAAAAGCAAAAATGTAAACTAACCGAAAACAAAGCTCCTCACAAAATAGTAAACCAAATGAAATGTAAACTATATACATTTCACCTACAATTTTTTCTTTCTATTTCTTAGGCCTCGTTTGGGAAGTGGCTATTTTAGTAGGCTATTTGACTTTTTGGCTATTTTAGTATGCTATTTTAGTTTGTGTTTGGGAAGATGAGATGAATTTTTAGTTGAGTTCTTGTATTGGAAAGTGTGTTGAAATGATATTTAAATTTAAAATGACAAATTTGTTCCTAACTTTTTATTTTTTAAATTGATATAAAGGGGCAAAATAGTAATTTTGCTGTTGATGTACCAATTTCTGGGGGAGCTTCTATTTACACACACCCATTCCCCTCTTTACACATCTTTTTCAATAAATAATTGGTTCGGAAGTAGATTTCTGAAAATAAGTAATTGATTCGGAAGTTGCTTTCCGAAAATAAACAATTGGTTCGGAAGTAGACTTCCGAATTTTTATTATTTTTTCGACACTCAACTTCCGAATATGTTTATTTGATGTCTATAATAGTAATTTCACTTGAAAAAAAATTTATAATAAAAATAATTTTTATGAAGTGTGTGCAAAGAGGGGAAGGTGGATGTGTAAATAGAAGCTCCCAATTTCCGGCTGTGACAGTGTAGGCACCAGCGCAGAGCCTTTTTTTTTTTTTTTTGAAAAACTGTGAACAGTGCCATTTTTTTGTTTATTTCTCATTTTAGGCTATATTAGCCTCACCCACCTCTTTCCAAACGGCGCCTTAATCTTTTTCCAAATTTCTAACCAAACATAGCAAAAGGGCATTTTTGTCAAATCGTTACTTGACCCATTCTCCACGCTGAAACACAAACCCTAATAAACACTTTTTCCTCTTCCCAATTTCTTTCACAAGCGCTTAAACCCTCTCTCTCTCTCTCTCTCTCTCTCTCTCTCTAATTCTCCAAATGGGTACGCCGGAGACATCTCGGGAGCCTTGCCCAGACCGCATCCTCGACGACGTCGGCGGCGCCTTCGGGATGGGAGCAGTCGGCGGCTCAGCCTTCCACTTTCTCAAGGGCATCTACAACTCTCCCAAAGGAGAGCGGCTCATCGGCGGCTCGCAAGCCGTGCGAATGAACGCTCCTCGCATCGGCGGCAGCTTCGCCGTGTGGGGCGGACTGTTCTCAGCCTGCGACTGCACCCTAGTGTACGTCCGCCAGAAAGAGGATCCATGGAACTCAATCATTTCCGGCGCCGCCACCGGAGGCCTCCTCCAGATGCGGCAGGGCCTCCGCGCCGCCTCCCGCTCCGCCCTCGTCGGCGGCGTCCTCCTCGCCCTCATCGAAGGCGCCGGAATCATGCTCAACAAGGTCATGAGTGCTCAGCAGAACATGCCGATCATGATCGAAGATCCCTTGCCGAACACTACGCCTCAGCCCTCGGAATCGTCGACTTCGTCGTCGTCGTTGTTCGGAGGCTTGTTTGGTCGAAAAAAGGAAGAATCGAAGCAGAGCGGAGTCAAGACGGAGATCTTGGAGAGCTTTGATTCGCCAATACCGCCGACATTCGAGTTCAAGTGAGAATTTTTTGAGAAATTAGTGATTGCGTTATTTTTAATTTACTTGCAAAAATTTTGAACAAACTTTGGAATCCCTTGATATTTAGGAATTGTATGGATTGCAATTTTTATGTTTCGCTTGTCAAGTTTTGATTTTTATGTGATACAGAGGAAGTCAATAGTATTGTATAATAATGCAAATTTGGAATTTGTTGTCTCATATTTCAATCAAGTCTTCAAATTGTGCACTATGTTGTTGATGCTACAAATTTTCTCTCAATTCAAAAAAAAGAAAAAAAAGAAACTTGTACTAGTTTTGGATTTATCAGCAATCTATGTACTGTTGGATTATATTCCTGTGAATGTTTGTCTTTATGATGTGAGTGTCTATGGTTGAACTTTTGTTGGTTCATGTTTTTTTGGCTAATTATTCATTCTTCTACTTTGCTCTAAACTAAGAAGCACTATATACACATGAATATCTCATTTAAAGAATAAATAATGCAACATAATATTGATCCTTAGTTTAAAGAATGATGGTTTAAATGCATAAGTCTGCATTTTTTAAAATCATTATATCCTAAGTTAATTCTTTCAAACCTTGTATTGTGTTTTATGGTGTTTAAATGATGAACACATCCCAAAGTGCCTGAAGTTTGTGTGAGTCTAAGGCTTAGTTTGGGGTATATTTAATAATACAAAAAGTTAAATAGTCACTATCCTATTTAAGTCACATCATCTTATTTAAATCACATCACCTCTCTAACACATCACATCAAACCCAACCCATATAAGTCAATAAGTCAAAAAGTGCACTTTTTTAGAACATCCCAAACCAACCTTAAATTTAAAAATAATAATAATAGGACACATTAAGACATATGTATTGACAAGTGCCAGTTCATATATGACAAACACGATGCCTTCTTAAAAGTATCTATGCTTATTCAGCTAGGTAAGTTCAAGTAGAGATGTCAGAATTTTGATTGAGGGAGTTTAGATATATTAAGCCTCCGTTTGGGAAGTGGGTTGATTTTTTAGTTTTTTAGTTTTTTTGACTATTTTAGCCTGAGCTAAAAATCTTGGTTTGGGAAGAGTTTTTTTGGCTTTTTGAATTTTTTTGTGAGAGAAGAGTGTAATGATTATGAGTTGGATGTGATGTTTTGTTTTTTGTGGCTTTGAGTTTTTTTGTGAGAGAAGAATGTAATGATTATGGGTTGGATGTGATGTTTTGTTTGTTATGGCTAAAATAGCCTATTTTGTTTTTTGTGGCTAAAATAGCCAAAAAAGCCCAACCAATTTCTTCCCAAACGGTGCCTAAAATATAAATTTTGATTTTGAATTAAAAATATATGTAGTGTTTGTTGATCAAGTGGTTAGAAGTTTTCCAAACTCAAAACGTTAGGTTCAAATCTTGTGCACTCACTTTATAAAAAAAAATTTCCATTTTAGATATAAAAAAAAAAAATCTACTTTGCAAAAGGAGAGAGTAGATTTCAAGAGACTAAAGTGAGTTGTTCACATATATAATAGTATAATTAGATAAATAGTGGAACCCTTGAGGTTTTAGTATGCTTAGGGGTTGTGAACATAATGGGGTTTTTTAATTGGACTTGGTTAATTAATTCTGGTATCCTAAAATGATAGTTCCAATTAGAAGAATTGAACTTGACTTGTAGGGATAGATAGGGCAATATGTTTCATATTGCTCCTGATGAATTAGTTTTATGCATTTTTTTTTTTAAATTTCTTATGGCTGGTTTTGTCCATTGACATCTCCACACAGTTCTGCAGAACCTGTTGCATTGGTCTCTGTCATGATTTGAATGAAGAATTAGTGAGAGTTGTTTGTTTAATGATTTTTTTTTAATCAGAGATACTAATTGGTATTATTTTTAACTTTTTGAAGAGAGTTAAGATGAATTTAGAAATTTTTACCACACTATAAGTCCAGTATGAAATGCAAGATGCATATAGAAATTATTTACGTTGTGTTTGGTTGAGAGATTTAGAAAGGGAGACAGGGAATGAAAAATGTGTGAAATTAGGTGAAATATAAGTATATTTTATTTATATTTTACCTTCCTTTTCCCTTTCCCTTTCTATTTTCAAATCTCTTCCAAAATCTTCCAATCAAACCCAACGTTACTTTCCCTTTTGAATACAGGAAAGCAACTACACCTAGAAAATGACCAGATCCATAATTTGGGTCAACATTTTATCCAGATTTGCTATACAGGAAAGCAACTACACCTAGAAAATGACCAGATCCATAATTTGGGTCAACATTTTATCCAGATTTGCTGTGTATTCTTCTTGATGATCCTTCCATTATTCCATTCCAGACAGACCTTAGGACTGCAGTTTTTCTTTTAATTTGTTGAGTTTGATTTGAAGAATTTATTATTATTATTATTATTATTATCGGGTAAGTAGAGTAGAATTCCAGGAATGATTAACATGCTTTGTGGAAATCCAGAATGCACTTTAATATGATCTGGTCCAACTTTTGCCTTCATATATATATAGTTGCATTGTGAACTCATATAGGGATGATGAGGATGAGATGAGGTAAATTTTCCGGTGGGCATTGTACACCGTATGTAATCCTAACATAAAATTACGTAAATTTTCTTGAATTTACGCAAGTGATCTCATAAAAATGCATAAATTAAATACAAATTCGAGTAAATTCACAAAATCATGCAAGTTTTTTGTGTTCTAGTTTATGCATTTTTGTGGGATTATTTATGTAAGTTCGTGAAAACTTACATAATTTTGTGTTAAGGTTGCATGCGGGACGCATTCCACACCAAAGCATTTCCTGATGGGATGATGTAAGGGGTTATTTCTGCTGTTATATGCTGAAATTAGATTCTCCATACATGTGAGGCCTATTAGAGCCGTGTTCGGAGTCTTTTTCGATGATTTGAATCGTTCATATTGTAAGGCTCGTCGAATAGATCATTCATGCAAAAAAATAAGTAAATTGGACATTTGTAACCTCATAATAAGAGCACATTTGTTTTTCAAAAAATAAACGGTGTACATGATTTTAATAATTTTTTAAAAACAATTAGGACTTGATCATGGGGTTATAGATGTCCGATTAACTTGATTTTTTATATGAATGATATACTCGACAAATCTTATAATATGAACGGTTTAGATAATCAAAATACGGTAAAAAAATACATCTACTAGACCTCACAGCAGGACTGGTGTGCCATAAGGCACAGCAGCAACCCCCAGTTCCTATGGTATTGGAAGCTATGATCTTTATCCATGAAACTTTCACAAAGTGGTTAAAATATGAATTGTATTTGTGGAGAAATGCATTATAATTGCAAATTGGTCAAATGGGATTTACTTTTTAGGTTCAATTTCAAAAGGAAAATTCTATCAATACAAAAAATTTCACAAAAATAAGGGGACAATGTCATTCTTATAAACTCACAAAGGTGTTTTGCTTTGTAGCGAATTCACATTGAGTCAGATCATTCATAAAATTTTTGTATAAATTTTTTATTTGTATATTTGTGCTATTTTGCTAACTTTTTATGAGAGCTTTGTAGTAGAATTGTATATGGAATGACAGTCAGCAAAAAAAAGAGGAAGGTTTTGGGGGGAAATTATACTTTTGGGACACGAATTTTTTTTTACACAAATATGGAGGGGTTGCACTTCCATAGTTTCCGACCGCGCTACGTAGCTCGAAAGAGTTTGGCTCGAATTTAGCTCGACACCAAAATGACAACACCAAAACGACGTCGTTTTGGTGTCTTTTTTTTTTTTTTTTTTGTTTTTTTTCTTTTTCCTGTGTTTTTGTTGCAGAAGGAAGACGAAGAAAAAGGGTGGAGAAGAAGAGAAGGAAAAGAGAAGGGAGGAGGAGGAGGAGGAGGAGGAAGGAGGAGGAGGAATGAGGAGGACTGGAGGGGGCATATTCACAGGGAAGGAGGAGGCGGAGGCGGGGCCGGAGGCGACGGCGGTGGTGCTGCGACGATCGCTGGTGCTGCGACGACAGGCGGCGGCGAGGCGATGGCGGTGGTGATCTCCTCTCCTCCTCTCTCTTTCTCCCTCTCTCCTCCTCTTTCTCTTCTCCTCTCTTCTTCCTTGTAGACGTCCCCGAACGGCCCCGGGAGGAAAGAGTCTCCCGTTCCGTTCGATATTGGGCTCACTACAGCTCGGAACTCTAAAATTGTCACGGTTCTAAATCCGAGCCAAAGAGTCCAAATCCGACAAATCGTTTTGAGAAAACAGATTTTGAAAGAAGTGCCAAACATGGACTGCTTTGCCAGATACAGAGTCGCCACCTAAATATTTTATTTTGGAGAAATTTAGGAAACCCTGACTCGTTTGCCTAAGGCCACGTGTCCGTCATCACCAAAGTTGCCTCGGCTCGGGAACTTGGGTACGATTGGGGAAGGTCACTTCGTGAGCACCCCCGCTCGCCCGATCAAAGATCGGCCTCTACTAACCATGATATATATTTTTGAAAACTTTGTGTGTCCTTAATCCGGTTATTAGCCTAGGTTACTATGTGATGCACACAGCATACAAGTATAGACTGGATCGCCTGAATTGGAATAAAACATTTCATGTTTGTTTATTTGAAAATGGTTTGATGATGCTACCCGCAAGTAGGCTAAGACGTGGATTTGCATATGGAGGGGTTGCACTTCCATAGTTTCCGACCGCGCTACGTAGCTCGAAAGAGTTTGGCTCGAATTTAGCTCGACACCAAAATGACAACACCAAAACGACGTCGTTTTTTTTTTTTTTTTTTTTTTTTTCTTGTGTTTTTGTTGCAAAAGGAAGAAGAAGAAGGGTGGAGAAGAAGAGAAGGAGAAGAGAAGGAAGGAGGAGGAAGGAGGGAGGAGGAGGAGGAGGAGGAGGAATGAGGAGGACTGGAGGGGGAATAATCACAGGGGGAGGAGGAGGCGGAGGCGGGGCCAGAGGCGACGGCGGTGGTGCTGCGACGATCTCTGGTGCTGCGACAATCAGCGGCGGCGAGGCGACAGCGATGGTGCTGCGACGATCTCCTCTCTTCCTCTCTCTTTCTCCCTCTCTCCTCCTCTTTCTCTTCTCCTCTCTTCTTCCTCTCTTCTCTCCCTTTTTCTCCTTTGTCTCTGTCTTCGAATTCGAATTCGAGCAAAAATCGTGCCACTTTTTTCGAGCTACCAGTCATTTTCGCATAGTTTCACTTACACCTCACACAAAATGACTTGTACCTCACATATTTTTGTAATTTTTTTTCCTATGTCCCGCT